ACAAAGAGAAATTTCCATGTGCACTGGTCCAAAGAGGAAACCTACTCAAACTGGTTTTATGATGGAGGGTGAGTCGCAAATAAAAGATGGGCTTCCTCTAAAGTTATCTGTTTTGCTGGAGTTGTCGGCTTCAAATGATCTGACTGGCTTTAAAAGTGCTATTGAGGAAGAGGGTCTTGATATTGATGAACCAAGCTTGTGGTATGGAAGGAGAATGGGTTCAAAGATGATGGTGTTTGAAGAAAGGACACCCCTTTTGATTGCTTCAATGTTTGGGAGCAAGGATGTGGTGAATTATATTATTGAAAGTGGCCGTGTTGATGTTAACAGGGCTTGTGGTTCTGATGGGGCAACAGCTCTCCACTGTGCTGCTGGTGGTGGCTCCTTTGATTCAGCTGAGGTTGTCAAAATCTTGCTTGAGGCTTCCGCTGATATCAATTCTGTTGATGCTAATGGAAACCGGCCTGGTGATTTGTTTGCTCCAGCTTGTAATTCAGCTTTCAGCTTGAGGAAGAAGACGTTGGAGGCTTTGTTGAAAGGAAGTGGTAGCGTTGGTGAAATAGAGGGTTTGCCTGCTCAAGTAGGAATTGAAATGGAAGGGCCAGAGCAGCTAGAGAATTCAATTCCCCGAGCTTTGAGAGATGGAATTGAGAAGAAAGAGTATCCTGTTGATCTTACTCTTCCAGACATTAAGAACGGGATATATGGGACAGATGAGTTTAGGATGTATACTTTCAAGGTCAAGCCTTGCTCGAGGGCTTACTCTCATGACTGGACTGAGTGCCCCTTTGTTCATCCTGGGGAGAATGCTAGGAGGCGTGATCCCAGGAAATATCATTATAGCTGTGTCCCTTGCCCTGAATTTCGTAAGGGAACATGCAGGCAGGGTGATAACTGTGAGTATGCACATGGTATTTTTGAGTGCTGGCTTCATCCTGCCCAGTATCGAACCCGTCTATGCAAGGATGAGACTAATTGCAACAGGAGGGTATGTTTCTTTGCTCACAAGCCTGAGGAACTTCGTCCCTTGTATGCTTCAACTGGTTCAGCTGTGCCTTCCCCTAGATCATATTCAGCTACTGGTTCCTCGCTTGACATGGGTTCATTGAGCCCATTTGCTCTTGGCTCTCCATCTGTTATGATACCTCCTACATCAACACCACCCTTGACTCCTACTGGTACCTCTTCTCCTATGGGTGGAGCGATGTGGCCGAACCAGTCTAACATCATACCTCCCACCTTGCAACTTCCTGGTAGTAGGTTGAAAACTGCGCTAAGTGCTAGGGATATGGATTTAGACGTGGATCTGCTTGGTTTGGAAAGTCATCGTCGCCGCCATCAGCAGCAGTTAATTGATGAGATATCTTGTCTTTCCTCCCCAACCAGTTGGAAAAATCCCTTGTCTGCTGCCTCGGCCTTTTCTGCCTCTGGTGACCGACCTGGGGAATTAAATAGATTTTCTGGGGTGAAGCCCACTAACCTTGAAGACATTTTTGGATCTCTTGATACTACTATTTTGCCCCAATTACAAGGAATCTCACTCGATGCTGCAGCTCGTCAGCTGCAGTCCCCCACTGGAGTTCAGATGCACCAGAATATTAAGCAGCAGCTCCGTGCTAGCTACCCAACCAACCTAGCATCCTCTCCTGTGAGAGCATCTCCATCCTTTGGGATTGAGCCATCTGGGCCAACTGCTGCAGCAGTTTTAAGTTCAAGGTCAGCTGCCTTTGCGAAGCGGAGCCAGAGCTTTATTGAACGTACTGCTATAAATCGTCATTCAGGGTTTACTTCACCAGCTTCTTCAGCAAGTGCAATGCTTTCTAACCGTTCAGATTGGGGTTCCCCTGATGGGAAATTAGACTGGGGTATACAGGGAGAAGAGCTAAATAAACTAAGAAAATCTTCTCCTTTTGGGCTCCGAAGCAGTGGCGGCAATTTGGCAAATGCAGGACGCTCAATGTCACCAGCCACTGATGAGCCAGATGTGTCTTGGGTCCAGTCTCTGGTGAAGGACACCCCTTCTGCTGGGCAGTTTAGTTTTGAGGATGAGCAGCAGCAGCAGTGTCATCTTGACACGACGGGTGCAGAGATGCTCCCTGCCTGGGTGGAGCAATTGTACATGGAACAGGAGCAGATGGTGGCCTAAAAGCAAAGCTGGTCCCACCATTAGCTCCTAAGTTAACCTTTAACTAGTTTTTTTTGGGTCATTTTTAAATTTTTATCAATATTCATCATTTGTAATTGGAATGAAATGGAGATGGGGAAAATTGATTGCCCTCTCAGGAGAATACAAGGTGAGCAGAACAGAAGGCTTCTGCTAGTAGTGCTCTTAGGTTCTCAAGAATAATGTCTGTTATTCTTTTTGGTCACTGGAGTTCCATATTCATCCAAGTAGAAACATGATTTGGAGCTGAAGGTAGTGAGGCCAATGTTGAACTAGTCAAATTTTAGAGTTACGTTCATTTCAATCGGCAAGTGGAAGAAAGTTTACTCATATTTTTGGTTTATTTTGAATTGGTGGGGGCTGTATGCATTTTATGTACCAGAAACTGCTGTATTATTTAATTATATATATACTTTTCAGTGCAAACTTCCTTATCCTTTTATCTTTTCTGATTTAGTTGAATCATAGTTCATAATGCCTTTTTATGTCGTAATCTGGAAGAACAGATGGCTTTTATTGCATTGCCCGTTACCACCAGAGTTAAGGATTTCCTAGTTCTGACTTCCTCCCAGCTGGAATGCAAATCAATGGCAACATTCCATCTTTAGCAGGAAACTAATGGAAATGGATGTTGTTATTTGTTAAACATCCAGCATCTGTGGTCTTAAATACCATAACTTGAGAGTTCGATATCTTTACGCAAGAATGAAATTGATCTTTCATATGATTCTCCACTGTAATCTTTCTTTTATCTTTAGTGTCATTTACCTGTCAACTTTTTTGAATTCTGCATCTTACTTTCGGCAATTCAAATGGTGGGGGGCTCATTGATTCCATGATTCTAAGTGGGTGGGATGTTGAGCACTAAGAAAAAAGGCGCCTCTGCCAACAGGATTGGTTGAGTTAGTAAAGATTAAATACTTCGTTTGTAAGGTATAAATTTGAATGCGGTTGTCAGTAGTCATCTTTAATGGATGATTTGTAAATCTAAAGCAAGTCTTCTCTGAAACTTGCAATCTGATTCTAAAATGGAAAAGCTTACCCTCATCCTAAACTTTTTATAACAAAAGAAAAACAGTTGTGCTCGTTTTTAGCTTATTTGTATCTTTAAATTAACTTTTCTTATTGGGTAAACCTATTAGCGGGATGGGCACTTGAACTTGCAGCCTGGATGAATGAGGAACAGCAAGAGTGTCATTTCAGACAACCAAAGATTTTTATTGCTTCTCATTTGCAAAAGACTATAATGTTTTAGTCAACTTTCAACAATGTTTCTTGGAGTAGTTAGAAATCAAATGATCAAAATATTGTTACTAAAACAAATAAAAAAAATTCTTAATATATCTACATCCAGGGTAGACCATTCCTTAAATCCTGCTGCCGGCGTTGCCTGTACTGGGATTAATTTATTTTTGGTGTGGGGCTAAGCATTACTCAATCTTGCTGTTTGTTTGTAATTTAATAATAAAACAATAAGCCATTGTTCCAAGTTTGAAACAAAGCTTGCAAAATTAGGACAAATCAAGTTTGGCTTGGTATCCTAGTTGCAACTTTGTTTAATGACTTGCTTGAAAGACCTATAAGATATTGTATTCGAAAATCATAAAATTTTATTTTACAAAAATCGTGTCATAAATTTGGATTCAAATTTTTAAAATCTCTTGACATGAGCTTGGGATATCACACAACATCCGACATGTCTTCTTGTATCAGTCTAATTAGAGCAGTTGTTGGAGACAACAAATTAACTATATCAGAGGTATCCTCATGAACTAAATCTGCACAGAAATTCACCTCATGATAGATATCTCATCTTCTAGGTGAGCCAATAAGTTGATAATAGCTACACTTTATGAAAAAATTGAGTTCAAATATTTCATTCTGGTATCTTAAATTTAGCATATAGAAGACTGTTAATAACTATCTGTACAAGGATTCATTATTCAATGACTTGTTAGTTAACCTAGTTGTCAAAAGTGGAGAATGAAATTTTCAAGTAAAGATTTGTTGGGCAGCTCATCTGTTGTCCTTGGTGGGGTGGTGGGTGGCATTCAATATTCCTAGTACGAGAATTAGTTGTCCAATCATGATTTGCTCTGTATTTGTTTATATTTTAGTAGTAGTTTCTTGCAACTAGGGGATTTGAGTTTCCCATGAAGTGATTCATTTGATGACTATAGCATGGATAAAGATTCATACAAATGTATGGCCCAAAAACAAATTCATGACAAAGAATATTATTTTTTATATAAAATAACTATCAATTTAAAAATAATAAAAAAATTATAAAATATTAAAATTTAAATTTTTTAAAAAATAATTATATAAATCAATTGAATTAAGCTTAAAATTCAACAAAATGATTTTTTTAACATTCAGTCATTTTCTTTTTTCCCCCTTCACCTCGTCACATAATTGAGGATTTTGACTTCTTACCTAATTTATTAGTTTTAATAGTTATTTAGAATTTGAATAATTTCAGGAAATTTAATTGAGTTGTTTTGCTGTCAGGCATCTAATCCTTTCATTTCAAAGAATTTAAATTTAAACTATAGTTGGTTGAAAACAGGTGAGCAAGACTTGACAGAAAATTTTGAAAGTAGATACTAGAGTACTGTATATCTTAGACTATAGGTTTTTGCAACTGCAAAAATTTACAAGGGCATGACTTCTGTACTTCTACAAGTTGAAATTCTTCATGAGGGAGATCCAAAAAATTGAACTACAAGCTCATCTAACAATTGATCTAAAATTTTTGATCCAAAATCTGCAGTAATATCTTCAAGATCTTCATTCTTTGAGCATAACCAGCTTGATTTAGCCACCTCAGCTTCAATCATCCTGCAAATTGCATCCCAACATTCCAAGTTTTTGTCACTGTGCCAATATTTTTCCTCGACTCCAAAAGTTTGCCTTCAATAATGTTTACCCTTTGAACATCCTCCATCAAATTACCATCATTAGATTCATTACTAGGAGATTTGCATCCATAATTTTCCAGGTCTGGAGATAATTTCCTTCTTGAGTTAGACCCTTCTGCTTTTGAATCTTCCTCTGTTACAAACAATTCAAATTTAGTCAAAAAGATGAACAAAAGAACTTTTTATCAAATGATGAATAGATTTAAATACAAACAAAAGTGACAGGCACCAACCTGATGTAGGAACATCATGATCAATGATGAATTGATCAAAATCAAGAACAGAAACCGGGCTTGAATCTTCTGAGCTGCATTCAGGATCTACATTTTGAGCTACAGGATGCTGTATTTTCTTCTTTTTCTTCCTCAATTTTGCACCATCAGGCACTCCATTCTTGTCTACATAATTTGAGCACTCTAGACCCTTTATGATGACAATTGGTTTCTCCAAGCAGAAATCATTAACTGGGCTGCATTTGGCCATTTCCTGATTAGGGTTATCAACAATTCTTCTGTTCAACTTTTCCTCATTCATCACATTCAAAGCCCTTTCATGATCTTCCAAAATTTTTTTCTCTGGGACCTTTTCTACTCTATTTTCCTTCGATTCTTCACTACCTCCTTTACATTTCTTTCCTTTTGATCTCGGCTCTTTCCTTTCACTTCCATTCTCAAAGCTTAGTACAAAAAATTCTTCATTTTCTAGCTCGAAGTAGGTAGGCATGTCCCGGAAAGACAATGTAGAGTTCACTCGTCTATGCTTGCCATGGGCTGAATCAGTATCTTGCTTATAATCAGCTGAATTCATCGACAGGCTTCTTGTAATTGAATTTGGATTTATTTGTGTCTTAAGCAAGCTGATGTCAGGCAAGGAATCCAACCCCATTAGCCTTGCTACAATCCCTGGAGTGACCTTGGAAGCATCAATCTTGTCCACAGCATTGAATTGTTGTTTCTTAGAACTTGCCACTGAATTGGCCTCAGTAATGTGATCAGAGGGGTGTGTTGGAAGATTCTGGGAGCAAAGAAGCCGACGTAAGATCCCCGCAAGGCAACCAGCAGTTGCACTTTTTGAAGTGCACATTTTGGGATCAAAAGAGACAGTTGAAGAAGAAGAAGAAACGGAAGGAGAAGAAGATAACAACTTCATATTGAAAAAGGAGGTAAGCAACTAGGGAAAGAGAAGGTAAAAAAAACTGAGAATGAAATTGGGTTTCTTTAGTAACTTTAGCTTACAACTTTGCAAAAAGGAATAGCTTTCATCGCTAACAAAAAAGCAAAGGGCCCCCAGAGGCCAAAAGGAGAAAAATTTGAATGTGGGAGTGACACTGAAAGAAGGCAAAGGGGGAGTTGGAAAGAGGCAGATAGATGGCGGGATTTGCATTTGAAAGTCGGATGCAAATGGCAATGGGCAATTGGGCAAAGCAGATGACAATATCAGGAACATGTCTACACACTGTATGAGAAGTCCATTTTTCAGCGATTTTTTGTCACTTGTCTTGCATTATAATGGGTTAAACTCATTGTTCGATTCCTCACAAAAAATATATAATCATAAATTATTATCTATTACACGAAATAAATATAATATGAATGTTTGAATGATTAATTGTGAAAACTCAAATTTCCAGTAAAGAGGTGAAAAAAGTACGAGGTGACTTTTATTTTAAAAACTAATACTAATAGGTAGTTTGGAATGCAGAGAAGTGGGATTTTTTTATCTTGAGCTATATGACTTGTATGGAAGGAGACAAACGGATAGCGTTAGTTTGGATTTTCAAATTTAGTGTAATATAATTGAATTCATAATATTATTAATTGAATTTAAATATCAATTTTAATGATATTCATTTAATATAAAATAATTTTTAAATATAATTATAATAATAATAATTATTTATAATTTTATCGAAATAAATTTCATACTTATACCAGATAGAAGCTAAGTGAGACAGTGAATCAGAGGAGAGGACTAGTGTCAGGGTGGTGTGGGGCTGTGGAAATTCTCTTGGGTTTGGAGCCGTAGATGCTGACTTTTCCACTTTAAGTCGCCTTTCAAACTTGGCAGCTAATTACTAGTTACCCAACAAAGGTTTAAACAAGACGGTAATGCAGTGATCTCACCCGACCGAAATCTGTTGCTATGTCTGATGATGTTTCTATCTTCTTTTTCTCTGCTGGGAATTTCAATTGGAATAAGGCAAACCAAAAAAAAAAAAAAAGAAAGAAAAGAAAAGAAAAAAAAGTACAGACTCCCTGTCACATGATGTTGAAACAAGCGAAAAAATTATGGTCCTTAATCTTCAGCTATTTTCTTTATCGTTCAGATTTGCCAAGGGAAAATAACTGAAACAGCTGTGGATCAGAGTGATAATATACTATATCTCCAATGTTGTCCGCATAATGATCCTGTCTAAGGCTTGTGACTAGATTCTTCATCAAGTGAAATGGTATAGGCCCAGATTTCTTCGGCTCGCGGTAGTACTTTCCGATCACTGGTTTTGCTGCTTTAGTCTGCAAGGCAAAAGCATCAAACCATTAGAACCGATCAATTTCCTTGTCAACTCAAACCTGTTTTACGGTAAGTATATTACCATTTCTACCAAGTGATGGGATTTGAAGGAAGAGATTGTGTATGACATGGGCACCAATGTCATGGTGGATATCGTTGAATAATCCATAATCACATTCAATTGTTGTAAGCCAGCCCTCCTCTGAGGTAACTCTATTCCTGTCAAATACAGAAGAAAACGCTGAGTGAGGATCGAGTTCGTTTGCATTGGATAGCAAAATTCCCTCTAAACTAGAAGAAAATTTATACTGTCCAATGCAAGCATAGAAAGTAAGTTTACCTTGCCACGGTACCTCGGAAATTTCTGCTCATGGCTATGGTGATTGGTGATAAAGTTAAGCCACTAAATCTTTGCCATGTCACGAAAATCCACGAAATGCTATATCATTCCACGCAGTAAATTTCCTGTTCCTTTTTATTTGTTTTTTAAAATTGTACATGCATCAACTTTTCTCTTCCCATGAAAGGAATTCTTTTTTTTTTCCTCATCTCATCGACTCTGCTCTACCCGTTGATCGATTAAACTTAGGGGTGATGATTGGGTTTCAGTGTTCAAGACATTTAGTAATTCAGTACTGTGGAGGAAGGATGAAGCAGACTGTAGAAACTGTAGGAAAGTTCACTTGGCGTTGATGATTCCAAAACCGCTGTTGTATGTTCCCATAAATAAACTCACAGGTCCAGGATAAATGTCGGACAAATGTTTTAAGATCAGTGAAAAGGAAGGGGCATATTTCCTTTTTCTCCATCAAAACTTGAAGTTAACTGAATTGTCTGGAAGGCAAGAGGTGTTTCAAAACTGTGTTATTGGCTAAAAGAAACTTCTCTATTTTTTCTTTTGTTTCAGAACTAAATTCGATACCAGATCGTACTGCCATTTCCAGAAAAAGAAAAAAGGAATTTATGAATCAATTTCTTGCCTGATGAATACAGAACATTTATGATGAATTCATACAGTAATGAATACAAATTTTGGTGACTGTGAATCTGTACAAAAATTGAAGCATCATAACAATCAAACAATATTGTCACAGAAAAAGTACAAACAATTAGTATGTTCCATTGCTACTACCTCCGTGGCCGAGATTGGCTCGAGGCTTTTCCACTTACCCCCGATATCTGCTTTAGGTTGGTAAGAGCATCCTGAGCATGTCTCTTTGCATTGGCATTTCCATGCTTAAAGGCTTCTACCAAAGCCCTAACCAGTGATTGATTGAATGAGTACTTATGGGCAGGGCCATCCACTCTCAATGCTCTCTCTATCATCCAAAGTGCCCTCTCTTGAAGCACCCCAGGACGAACTTCTATAAAAAGTTGAATGACAGCCGCAATAACTTCATGCTTTTCAAGCTCATCCACCGCTCTTTTGTAGCCATTAGAAGTATCTAAAACAAGAGTTGACAGTGCCTCAATAGCAGCAATTTGAACAGTCGTATCCTCTTCATGGACAAGGTCAACCAAGGGTCTGATACAATTGGATTTTAGTAAGCACAGCTGACTATTATTTTCACATGGAGCATTGTGTATGGGACAAGTGGAAAGTTCTGGAGAAGCCCTTCCACACATGAACACCAAGGAAGCACAGAACCCTTGGGGAGGTGGTGGTTCTGAGTCTGCAGCAGCAAGTGACCTTCCAGCTTCAGACAAGTTCTTCAATCCAATAGCAGCCAGCTGTTTCACTCTAGGTTTTGCCGGAAAATTGAGTTGCTCACAAAAAATTGACATGAGCTGATACTCCTTGGCCATACTAATAGTCTCTTGATCAAGGCTCCTTGTAAAGTGAAGTAATAGGCCTAAAAGTCCTTCTTGCATGCTGGATGTAGGTCGGGATGTTCTTCCATTGGAGATATGCTGCTGCTTTTTAAGAGTCATTACTGTCGATTGAACAAAGGTTGCTCCCAGGATTGTTTTTACAGCATCATCGGAGAGTGGAAGATTAGCAAGTATGCATGCAGCATCAGATTTCTCACTGTCTGTTGATTGGTTGTCTAGTAATTTCTCTTTTAATAGTGGAAGCTTGTCAGAAAGCTCATGTGCTAAATCATGACCAAACCTTTCTGTGAGAACTCTTGTAAGCTTAAAAGCATAAATTCTGTGTTCAACCTCTGGGTATTCAAGAAATGGTATTACTGTTTTGATGCCATCCCCAGAATTCTTTATATGTATGGTGACAGACTCTGCAAGATCCAACATATTTAAATAAATAAACAAAAAATGCAAACAGATAGCTGTTTACTCTGTTAAATCTATGTCTGTGAAGTCCAAATTCCATCAGAAATTTCTTTACAAGCAAAAAAGAGATAATAGTGTGACATTGCCAAGTAAATGATTGCTTTCACAGAGGTAATTCAAAAAAAATTACCTGCAGCCTGTGGTGATGAAGCCATTCCATATAGGATACGGAGAATAGACACTTGACATTGGGGAGATGCAACAAAAAGAAGTCCAAGAAGACTAAAGACTACTGATTCTGACTGCATTGAATTTCCCTTCTTGTCAATTGCAGCTAATTCCCAGTGACCAGGATTTGATACTATGTTTGCAATTGTTGATGCTGCTAATTCTTTCCATTCTGGTGAAGCACCTTGGTCTTGTAAAAGAATAGGTATTGTTGCCGGAAGTACAGCAGAATCAACAAGAATGGTTGCATTGTCATCCAACCCTGACAGGTTATTTAATGCTTGCAAGCTTGCTGTTCTTCCTTCTGCTTTAGATAGTAGCTCAACTAGTGTTTGAGCACATTGCCTGGCAATTTGTTCTTTACTGTTATTCGTCAAGGTCATTCTACCAATAATGGATGACATCTCTATTCTAACATCATCAGGTCCTGTTGACAGTAAAAGAGCACCTTCAAATTTGTATAATATAATAAATTCTACTTCAAGCAAACGGTAGAAAGAAAGTTTCTATGTTTTCTCCGGAACTGCTGTTGCTTTCCACATTTTATTCCCCATTTTCCATATCAATTGGATGACAAACATGAAATGCATTAGCATAAGACATACCTTCACGCAATCGACTGACCAAGGGTTCAAATCTTCCTGCAGCTGTTAAATGCTCAACCATATCCTCAGCTCTCTCCATTTGCATCAATACCTCCTCAGCCAGATTGGCTAAAGCAGGATGCTCCAGATTTCCTGCCATACTTGAGAGAAGAACTAATGCCCCTTTCTCCAATGCAATTCTCGTACAACAAGCTTCATCACTAGAGAACTCAAGTAATAACTTCACAGCATACTCCCTCTCTTTCTCTGAGCTTCCAATAAGACTATGTATGGCCAACCTAGTGATGCCCTCTTCAAGCATTATTTTCTATAAATATTTTGACACAATATCAGAAACTAGATGCCATAGTTATCACAGAACCGGTTTTTAAAAGGTAACAGTCCTTACATTGCCAACGAGAAGCACAAAATATTTACAACAAAAATGTAAGCATTTTTTTCTACTTTGTTTTTTGTTTGAGAGAGTTGAAAACAAACAATTTGGCTTGAAATATGCAAGTACAATAATAGCCAAAACGAGACAAACGCAAACATTTGGAAATTACAATTGACAACACATGTTCTCTTCAATATTTCCTTAACTACTTGTATTCCATATTACTTACATGCGTCATCTTTGTTCATATTAGAAACAAACTCATCCTTTTTCAAAAGACATAAGTCAACAAAGCATACACGTAATTCAGCACCCAATCGTAAATAAGGAAAGCTTAAGGCAATCAAAATCCTACATTGCTCCATCACATTCTAGTTTTTACCCTCTACATTGGTAAAATAAAACATGTAAGAGCATGTAATGAAGTACTAACCTTGCTTTCTTCATCCTTTGCCATGCTAAGCAAAGCCATCAAAGCTTTACCTCTCAAAACAGTTCCAATATTTTTGAACAATTCCTAAGCAACTTAACAATTATCACCACAACCCCAGCATTCCTAACTCGAAACCTATTCGAAGGATACTCCTCCGATATCTTATAAACCACATCTAAAACCCTCTCAACACCCTCTACCTCCACATTCTCCTTACTTAGCAGCTCCATCGCGCCCTTTACTTGAATCTCAACATTCCTACTAACCCATTCCTCAATCGCACCCGCCAAACCAATATTCGGTTTCAACTCTAATGACTTCAAAACGTGACCCGTCACCGGACAAGTCGGGTCCCTTCCATCCTCCAAACACCTCTGGAACCAATACACAATTGCGGTCCTCTCGTAAGTTTGTGATGACTCTAACACAACCGGTTCTTTCATAACTTCCTTAGTTAACGGACACAAAAAATTCTTAAACGGTAAAATGTGAGCTTCTTCTTCAAAATCGTGCTCAACATTTAACGTTGACCTTCCCGAAACTATTGACCAATTATCTAAAATGTTTTCCAAGGAAAGTAAAATCCGCCTTGCGGTGACGGAGTTTGAGCTTGTCAAATCCGCTTTTAGCAACTTAACTTGATTGATTAACTCTCCGTGATTATCGGAATCAATTCCTAAACATCTTGCTAAATCCATGATTATGGCGCTTTGAACTGCTTTACTTGTTGGCCTTCCTTCTCCTTCTTTTTGAAGCGTTAGGTGAACTCTTTCTTCATTTTCAGTAACCTAAAAAAAAGATGCAAACTTTGTCAAAATTTTAAGAAAAAAATTATATTTTGAAGGAAAAGAGAAGTTTTTTTGATGAGTTTTTTATACGGTGAAATGGGATTGTTTGATGTCGCGGGAGAGATCGGAGGTCTTTTTGCGGAGATCTGGGAGGTTATCGGAGAGGGAAGATTCGATCAAGGCGAGCCAGGAAGCGATGGCGGAGGAGTGTTGTTGGAGAGAAGAAGCGAGAGATTTGCAGTTGATGAGGACGAAGATCTTGCTTCGTTTACGGTAAACCAACACCGTGTCGACGGCTTTGGTAAGATCCGAGGCGATTCCTCTGAGAGCTGTTTGGAGAGGCGGAGGAAGAGAGTCGTAGTTGAGGAAGTGATGGTGGTTGAGGAGGAGCTGGAGTCGGGAAGCAAAGGAGGTGAACCGGCGTGAGTTGTCGAAGCAGTCAGGAGAGGAACAGGAAGTGAGTTCTGCGACAGAACGGTGGATAGACTCCCCCGCTGCGGCAGCGGTAGACGGTGGTGGTGACGTCATTTCAGTGCGAACTTGACATTGAAGAAGTTGCTATTGGTTGGTAGGCTTGCATTTGCAAAAAAGAAGGAACTTTAAAGTTTAAAAAGTAAAATTTTGGTATGCTTGGCCAAATGCTGAAGCTGTTTTTATGAAAGTACAGCCTCCTTTCCAAAGGTTTTTCATTCGAAGAAGATGAGTCAAGGTTTGACTTTGAGGGGCGCAGACTTTTAAAACGCATTGTTAATTTCTGATAAAGTCCTTCTTATCGTTTTGTTGGTTGTAACTTGTACACTTGCACTTGTAAGAAGTTCGAACCCGGGTTTGATCCGAATCCAGAGATCTTGACTTTGACCCGAATCCATATGAGCAATTGCAAATTTTCTTTTCATTTTGTTTTTGGGGAAAAATATTTAAAAGAAAATGAGCAAAAACATTGGCTTGAGGTTCTCGTTGATTATTTCTTAGATTGCATTAGGGAAACTCGAGCCAACAATTCTTGATTTATTGTTAAAATATTAAATATTTAATTTCAGTAATTAAAATTTAAATTTTGAAAAAAATTAAAAGATATGAAATCGTACAAGTGATAAAAAAACAACTCAAATACCAAATAAATCTTTTGATAATATGAAAAAAGTCATCATAAGCCTCGGAATCTGATCATCCGTGTAACAACATGGTACAGATAAGCAAATGAAGGAACAAGAGTACTCAGCTCTTAAACCTGACAAATTACCTCACTTAGAATCTATATTCTGCTTATGTCACGACCAAACACGAAAGTTGTAAGCCAGTTAACAGCCACATAGAATCGGTTCCTCCAGCTGACAACACGTGTTAGATATGCCGATCGCCATATAAACCAGCTGACGAATCCTGCAAGAGATATCCCTTTTGCCTCCTGCAAAGGAATCAAAGATGCATCACAAATCATTCTCATTAGTAACTCAAATGTGAAAAAAAGAAAATCACCTTGCTCTGTCTTAGGTCAACAAGAGCCTTGAATCTGCCAACTGTTGCCATGCTTCCAAGATGCTTGTACTCGAATGGATCCCCAAAGTCTATGTCCTTGGCACAGTCAGCATGTCCTCCGCCATCTTTACCGATTTTATTCAATAGGTTCGCCAGGTACTTTCCTTGTCGCTCAGCAACCTGTTCAAGAAAGAAACATTAGCACCAAAGTTTTCAAAGCAACAAAAGGATGTGCACCAATCTCCAAGGCGTATAAACAGAACTAGCATCTGGTTTAACAAGCTACTATAGAAAGTTGACCATGGTGCTTGACATCCAATAGGATACACACAACTTTGCATTGTACCCCTGGTTTGGATGGAAAGAGTAGCTTAAATAAAACACCATTGACAAGATTCAAATTTGTCCCCTTTCAGGACATGAAAGGTACAATCATGTGATAACACACAGGCAGGTGACGCTTGTTGGACGCCCTAGTCCAATTTCCACCAGAACTGGATGATAATATCGTGAGCTTGGCAAGCACAAAAAAAATTGAAGACAAAAAAAATTGAAGCAAAGCTTCGAAAAGGTCGGGACCATTCCTAGCATACCTGCGCTAAAGCTGGTAGGACTGGTTTACCAGTACTTTCCAGAAACCCACTGCAGTCACCAATTGAAAACACATCTTGCACAGTAGGAACTCGAAGCCACTCATCAATACCAATCCTGTTAGCAAAAAGGAATAAGTCCCAAAATTAAAATCAACCCAGACAGTACAGCAAGGTTCACAAAGCAATGATAAGTTAAATTCAAAGGATAATGCACTTGTGACATAGGGCAGCTAACCCCCTCGGCATGAAAATCAAATCGATTTAGACTTCTTTCTCAAAAACAGAGGGGAACCAGCTGGCCTCCAAAGTTGTATTTACAATTCTAAGAAGAATTGCTGATACTGAGTTAAACCTTTTATGCCAGTTTGAAACTTTATAAGGCGCATGCTACGATGCCATCAAGAAAATCTTCATGAAAAATTAAAAAAAGAAAAAAGAAAAAAAGAAGCAAAGAAGTCACTCAGGGATTTTATCTTTACCTTCCACCCGGAGATTTTGGAAGTCCTAGAGAGTTTACAAATGGAGAAGGACCAACCCCTGTTGACCATACTAACAATCCATAGGGAACCTCCGAACCATCGCTCAGGATTAGCTTTTCAGGTTTAACATCGTTCACAACCCCACGAACTAGACGAACTCCTGACTGAGAAAAACTACTTGATGAAATATGAAAAAAAAATCCAGAATGAAGTAAAATGAGAAAATCCTCCAATCAAAGCATAATAGGAGATACGTAAATTCCTTGAATAGAAGTTGAGAAGATAAAATCATCATTGCATCAATCAACCTTTGTTAACTGCTTAATTGCATAGTGTCTGAGGCGATCATCAAAGGAAGAAAGTATCTCATTTGCCTGACAAGAAAAGAATAATTTTATTACAATTGAAAATCTCCTCAATACAGCAACTTCAAACAAGAGTTGAGCACAACAAGAATCTTGAGCAGGCCTTCTAGTTTCCAGGCAAAGTTTGGGAAAGACAGCGTTGATTTTCAACAAAGATGTTAGAAAACAAAAAACTAAAGAAATGTAGCAAGAATATAAATGGTGATCATAACTTGGATTGCAGTAAAACAAACCTCAATCAGTGTGACACGGATATAGTCTTTTACATGTGTGTATCTTTGGTGAACATCCCTCCTAATAAAATCACTAAGTTCACCACTAAACTCAACACCTGTAGGACCACCTCCTACAACAACACAATGCAGCAATCTACGTTTCTCTTCTTCAGAAATCCCTGCCTCAACACCAAACCAGTAAGAAACATATCTAATCACACTTGAGTTATTTGTTTTCATAATAAAAGGTAAAACAAGCAAGTGGTACTTAACCTGGCACATCAGATAGCATCAAGTTCAGGAGTAGTTTCCTGCGAATTTCCTGAGCGTGGTGAACTTCACGCAAAAATATTGCATGTTCTTTCACGCCATGGATTCCAAAAGTTGATGCCTGTGCTCCTGATGCAATTACCAACTTATCATATGAAATCTTAAACTTCCACGGGTCCAAGGTGTCAGCTCCATCAGTAACAGTCTCGCAATGCACCTTCAATGCCCAAAGCAAATATCCTTGATTAAGCCATTGAAAAAGCCAAAATTTCAAAACTTTCATACAGCACAACACCATCTTTTATTGTTCACTTGGTATAGGAATGCTACCAGCAAGCTTAAGTCAACCGATTACATTATACCAAGCAATATCTAGATATAAGATCAACCAATTAATTAGATTTTTTGTCACAGCACAGCACTGGTCCCTAAAAACTAGTTATCTTTTCTAAAGTCTAACTAAATTCAATAGCCAAGAGCCCAAAGCCAAAACGTTTAGTCCAATAAAGGCAACATTTTTTTTTAACATACCTCGTGGCTCTCAGTATCCAAACCAGTAGAATTAGCAAGGAAAAAATACGAGCCGGGTGCTGAAGAGATCGAGGGCTGAATCCTGGCAATTGGTTCAGCCACGGACCTGAACTCAAGAGTCCCAACACAAGTTGAAGCCAAGAGCGGAGTAAATACCATATGATTCCTAGGTGACACGCAAACGATGTCGTACAGTTTGGGATCCAAGCCTTTCATTAGCCTGCAACCAGCCCATCCTGACCCTAACACCACCACTCTTGGTTTCTCATCTGGCTTGGTGGGTCCAAGACCTGAAAGCCGAGCCACCGGAGGGGGTTGGTTGGCGGTGCTGAAGTGGGATAAAGAAGTCAGTAGAAGATTTGTGGTAATGGTGCTTTTGGGTTTGTTTGCCGTTGAGATTTTGACCAAGCTCCTGTACCAAAACATCGCTGATTACTGATTGTTCATAGAATGGAAAAAAGAAAACAGTTTAAGGATGTTTTTTCTAGGTCCCAGAATTCTGGATTTTATAGATTTCTGGGGAACTTTTAAGAGGGTTACAGACTTTCAGTTAAAGTGCAAGTAGATCTACTGACATGATAGGCAACTTTGGTGCCAGAGTTGATGGGTTCATGCCACGTGTCTGACCCATTGGGCTAAAATTTATTGGATAGAATCAATGCATTATGCAATCCAGGAGTTTTTTTTTTCCTAATGCAGTTACTTCTTTAACCTTAATTCTTCAACTAAAACACTTAAATTTTATTCCAAAATATATGTATTTTCAATTAAATTAAGCGCCACATCAGCATTTTATTCAACGTCAACTTCTTCTTCCCCTGCAACTACATTTGTATTTGTTTTAATTTAAAAAAAAATTCTCGAAATATCAAAATTTTATCAAATTATAATAAATAAATAAATTATACTTTCTACCAATTCATATATAGAATTTTATCTCTTTAAAAAACCACGTAGATTGAAAATCATTCAAAAATTTTATTATAAATATTAATAAGATTTTTTTTCCCAAAAAGGAAAATCTAATTCCAGTTTTAAATACAAATACAGTAAAAGCATATGTTGCTCATATTGTTCCCATGAAACCATAATTAGCCCCAAAGGAACAATCTTATCCAAAAGCTGAAGACAATGCCCGATATAGGCAAAAGCGTCTATTTCCCATTTGTATTAACAAGAACCATGATCAGCTCTTCTCCTTTACTTGCTTTGAATGGACTCAAAAGTTGATGATAGGCGCTTCATATTTGCTTTTGAACACAACATATTATTTTCAAATTCAACTTTATCAACTTGAATTTGGGTTTCACTCCACAAGAAAATGTTGTATCCTTTTTCTTTTCTTACCATAATTTCTTATCTTTCTTGAATCGTGCTTGAAATTGCATCTATTTCATAAGAAATTGACAATTCTATTGATATAATCGAAGAGCATGGAAAGGAACCAGAGACTGTTTTCTCAGAAACAAGCATCAGAGTTGCAGGTACTCGGGTGCATCAAAGAGGCTGCGGGAATGCGCATTACAGGCTTGAGGAACCTTGCTGCAGATTCTGTCAATCTTGGTCTTTGTAATTCATGGTCTTGAATTCTTACATATTTGAATTTAGTTGTATTGCTTGGGGGGCTAAATGCATTGTATGATTAAGGAAGACAGTTTTATTGTAGCAGTTTATCTGCTTATTTGGATAAATAAAATCATTGCTTATCCAAAAAAAAAAAAAAAACATTTCCTCTGTTAAAATCATTTCTTGTGAATCAGTCTGCTTGCAGAAGATAATCTAACATGAATTTACACCCAACCAGCACTTGAATTCAATCAGTGACCTCTGTTGACATATCATCCGCCCTATCTCATTGAACCAGATTGTCCATTTGCCTCTCAACATTTGCCATGCTCACTGATCATAATCACAAAATAAACAGAGAATGGAAACCAGATTGTCCATAAAGGTAGCAGCTCACTGGAGCATCTCAATAAGCAAGATGAAGGAGGATGGATGACTGAAAAATAGGGGAAGGGTAAGCACCACTCAATTATGGTGGGATTTTGCAATAAAGTGCACACTAACCATCATCCAATTAACCATTGATAAATCGACATTTCCCTAGCATTCTGTTCAGAAGACTAACTTTTAGCACTTGGAATGGTACTAGAATTGAAGTAGCAAATCACATCAATTCCCGTGTTCTGTCCAAAAGAAAAACTTTGCCTTAAAAGTAGAGAAAATTTAAGTGCTAGAGAGGTTGCAGAACACGAAGGACCCTGGGAATCACATAAATTTATACAATGATGACAAAGGATCTTACAAGTAGACATAGAGTGATATGTCCTTGACAAATAATCCCAACAGTAATAACAAAGGGGCTTTGGTTCATGAAATTTTGAATTTTTGGAGAAAAATATATTATTTGAAAAAATTTGACACTAGAGGTATTATTTGACTTTCAAACATCCTGTAATCATATCCATTCCTTTGGTTGGGAGAATTTTGATTTATTAATTTTCATATAATTATTATAATCTCTTTAACAAGAGGTAGGTAATTTTTTATTTTATTTTAATAAAAAAAGAAAAATTTTAATTTTTTAATTAAATATACTTAATTACGATGTTTAATCAGATATCTATCATAATTGTTGTAGTAAAATATTTAAAAAAATCAATTATAACGTTCGAAATAGTTGAACGACTTATTTATTTTTTTAAATATATTAGAAAAAGTATCAAATAAAGCATTTGTTATAAAAAAAAATTTCTTATTTACTTTTGTAAAAATTCCTAAAAATTGTCTATCAAATAAGATATTTGTAAAAAGTATATGCTTTATTTGAATGGGTCTTGTTAACACTTTATTTGATGATTTTTTAAAAATTCTGACAAAAAAATCAAATAAAGCTTTTCTAAAAAAAGAAAAATGATTTAATTGATTTGTAAGAAGAAACGCTTTAATTGATTTCAATTATGGTGTTTGTAAGAAAAAATGTCTTAATTGATTAATTGTCATTTATTAAAATTGAATTAAAAATAAAACAAATTTTAAAAAAAAAGTTAAAATTGAGTTTCAAATTTACTTTTCAAAAAGGTAAAATATAAATAACAAAATTTTTATTCAATTCAAATTTAAAAATAAAGTAATTTTTTTCTCGAAATCTTAAAATATTATAGGGAGATGATGTTTTATGATTTCGAAATTTTGGATTCTGTTAAAAATCTGACATTTTATTACGTAATCGGATTATCTTAAATTAAACATGAAAAATAAATACTCACCGTCAAGATTTTATGAAAAAAATTCATAAATTCCTCCGAATCAAACGCACTCTTTAAAGTTTTTCACTTAAAAGGTTAAAGGTTAAAATCTTGAGAAGAGGTGAGACTCAATGGAACAAAAGGGAACTACTTCACATTGTTTAAACGTAGATCAAATAGAACCAAAATCGAAGGCATAAAAAACTCATATTAAATCATTGTATTAACATATAGATGCAGGACTATAAACAGAAATCCGACAAGAGAGCAAATCAGTAAATAGAACTCCATAAGCAAGTCGACTATCCATTTCCATAGCAGAAAAATTTAACAGACAAAAATCTACAAACCAGAAGTCTCACTATCATTCCAACATTCTAAAATGAGTCACTCCAAGCTACATAAGCACCGGCAAACTATAATGACAACGGATATAATTATCCATTAATCATCTTTTCTTAAAACCATATTTTTTGCGTTCATAGAATAAGTCAGTTTTAGCGCTACCAAGATTAACAATTTTCGGACAAGCATCCCGATCTTTCTCTTGCTGTGTACACTCCTTACAGTAATATGCATCAGATATTCCCACTCCTCCACAGATAACACACCTACCCTGAAACGACCCGTAATTTCATTCATAACAAACACGTACCAGTGTGCAAGGACGAACATAGGAGTCACAGATTACACACTTGCCATCACACTTCTCACGTAGTCGTCCAATTGCAATACCTGGCTGCTTCCGGCACATGATCAAATCAGGATGGTGCTTGGCCATGACTGCCGCAACTCTTTCCTAGTTGTCTCAGCAACTGAAACAAAAAACACACAAAATCCCCTCAGAGAGTTAAAAAATCACAAAATCAGACAATGGCAAAGATTATTATGAAGATAAATTCAAAACCCAACATAAAAAAAAATCAAAGACAGAACATTAAGGAAAGAGAAAAAAAACAAACCCTTACTTTAAAAAAAAAAAAAAGCACATGTAAACTATACAAATTTTGGACCAAAAACTATAAGCAGAAATAAAGAGTTTGGGGTTTGGGGTTTAGGAGAATGAGCTAACAAAGAAAAGAAAGGAGAGAGGTAATGCTGACCTGAGAGGGGATAGCAAAGCCGGCTAATCCCATCGTGATTTGCCGGAGAGTCTCGAAGTAGAGAGGACGACGAGAGCCAGAAAGTTCTAAGTCAGTGGACCGTAGGTTCGACCGATATAATAACGTTTCAGCTTTGATTTGGGCCGTGTTTGGAATGTTGTCGAAAAATATGGATGGACGATTTTTCAAAGTTTTTGGGCCGCTAACTTGTTCAATTTGATTTGGATCATGATCGATTAATTATATACAATTAACAATCTCAATTTATGTATGGATATGAATTTCGTACGACCCTCAATATAAAATTTTAGTGAACTTCCCCGTAAATTGAACCCTCCCCCTCGCATAAGAAACTTACTCAATAATGATACCTACATTGAACGTCAATTTCAAAATTTTGAACTGGTCAATGCTCTGTTAAACTAGTAGGGACAACTTTTTTTTGTTGAATTATTGTTTAAAATTGAGCCGATTGGCATTATAGTTTTGTAGCTAATAATTACCTAATCTGTTAATAAAATATTAAACTTTTAATTTATTAATTTTCAAATTTTAACAACAAATAAAAAAAAAACATTTCAGTCTTGGAAGGGCAAGATTTCTGTCATTGAAAAAGAGCTGGATAATAAAAGACTGCTTCAATTATGGTGCCGTTGCTGGATATTACTAGTATGCACTTGAAGGGAAAGAAAGGTCATAAATAAGCCAGCTCAGAACAGATTTCACGTTGGATTTCATATTGCAATTTCTAGATGGGAACAATTGAAGTTTTTTGCAGATTATAGGCACAAAAGAGAAGATTCTCATTGATGATTAACTTCCACTTCAAGATATCGACGATACACTTTAAAAGCATAAGCAACAACAGGTTGATGATAACAAATGACGATCGAACGACCAGGAAATATCTTAGTATTTGGAAACATCGCCTATAGTAGACAGCAGACTTTTCTAAAGTTTCATGGATATGCCACAAATCCTACCATCGATTATTGAATATCCACGTTCCTCTTCCTTCCAGTAGGCGGGCACTAACTTTATATGGCAACTCCTGGAACTTCCATTATCCGTGGCATACTATCAATAACCTTGGATGAAACGTTGCTGAGACGGGTCTCCGCGTCATAGGCTGAGAGATGGACCCCCAGGGCAGCCCTGCCTGAAGGATCAAGGTTGTTCTTCCAGGCAGCATCCCACTCAACAGCTTTAGCAGTGCTGCATGCTACACTGGCTCCTCCAGGGACAGTCAATCGAGCTGAGTTCTGTTAGACCCAGCAAAGGAGGATGATCAATTTGGTTAACATTGCTATTGACAAAGTTAAAAGTGCATACAAATGTACCCCAACTGCGAAAATTTAGGAAATCACCTGAGGGAAGAACCTCTCAAAGATCATCCTGTAGTAGTACGCTTCTTTTGTAGTTGGTGTGTTGTGAGGAAAGATGTAAGAAGCATTAAGCATCATCTTATCAGTCACCTGAAAGTAGAAGTTGAGAATTAATCAATCCTCACTGCATTAATTATTAACTATAAACAATAGACTAATTGAAAACAGCACATTAGAAAGATAATTACATGTTGGGCAGCATGGGCTTTGAGACCATCGATCCAACTATATCCAACACCATCACTAAATTGTTCTTTCTGCCTGTAAAGGATATGCTATAGGGCATCAAACAGGACATGTTAGTTGGGTAATTACTTCATAGTTGACAAATACCATAGACAACAAAAGATTCTATAAGACCTTTGGCAGATAGGGACGCTCTTCATCATCAAAGGCTCTTCTGAGAACCCACTTCTCAATTCTTCCTTGATCTTTTTGGATCTGATTCATAAAACAGAGAAGCATTGTTGATAAGTCTGTGAATCTCAACTATGGATGAACAAACCAAGCAATTCCAGGAACAATATAGTACTTTTGCTGTCTTAAGAAGAATACTTGTTTACATACCATCTTCGATTCAGGGTCTATAGCCGTGGCAACATTGATAAATTCTTTGTCCAAGAAAGGGACTCGAGCCTCCAATCCCCATGCAGATGTTGCTTTGTTAGCTCTCAGGCAATCATACTGATGAAGGGCCTTGATCTGCACAAAAGTATCAGTGTATCAACATAGACTAGTCTCCATTATATTCTTGAATTCCAACTCCCTTGGTGGTAAGGAAAGTGCCAAGTAAGATGATCTATTACCTTGCGGCATGTTTCACGGTGGAATTCTTCCTTATTTGGTGCCTTGTGGAAGTACAAATATCCACCAAAAATCTCATCCGAGCCTTCACCTGAAATAACCATCTTCACTCCTAGTGACTTGATCTTTCGTGACATCAGGAACATAGGAGTGCTTGCCCTGATCGTCGTCACGTCATAGGTTTCAATGTGGTAAATGACCTCTTCAATGGCATCAATCCCATCCTGCCACATTAGAGAGAAATTTAGCTTGTTCTAGAATCATTAGACCCCAATTCTTGAATTAAAAATATTACTAAATGTTCAGTCAATACTTGAACAGTGAAGTGAAACTCATGATGAACAGTGCCTAGATAGTCCGCAACCTCCCTTGCAGCCTTCAAATCTGGTGAACCCTGCAGACAAATCGAGAAACAAATTTTAAGGACCAATTAAATCTTTTAAAGCTATACTTTAAGGTTTCATCCTATACTATACGACTTACCTCTAAGCCAACACAGAAAGAATGGAGCTGACTTCCCCACTGTTTGGCAGCCTTGGTACCAGCCAAGTACCTAGCTGTGATAGAAGCAACCAATGATGAATCAAGACCTCCAGATAGCAGAACTCCGAAAGGCACATCGGTCATCAACCTTTTGATCACAGCCTGCAAATATATTGAATCGAACCCGTAAGCTAAAATTACACAAAAAATACAAGAAAAACAACTCTTTCTTTAATAAAGTAACTGTCAAATGTTTCTCAGGCTACAATTCATCAATCTTACATTTTCAAATGCACGTCTGAGAACAAGGGGGTCATATGGAACTGATGGAATGGCCTCAGAGAACCAAGGTGGGTTGTACCACCTCCTAAATCCTCCAGATTTGCTAGAGTACAGATGACCAGGAGGAAAGCTCTCAAAGTGTTCACAGTCATCATTCAATCCTTTCAATTCTGATGATATCCAAACCGAACCTGAATATAATAGGTAGAAAACATCTTAGCAAAAACCAATTTCAACCCAAATTTAGACAGCTAGAAATCCATTCACAAAAATTACTAGAAATCGAGAGAGCAAGATTTCATACCATCAAGTCCCCAGCCAATATAGAGGGAGGTGACCCCAATGGCATCACGTGCAACAATGAAGCTGTTGTCACGGGTATCCAGCAGCACAAATGAGAAGATTCCATCCAACATGTCCACAAAGTCTTCCCCATACTCCTCATACTATCATATGGTATAAACAAATTAAAAAATTTAGGCCAAAAAATACTAAACAAATTAAAAAAATTTTAGACCAAAAAATTAGCTCTATCCAACAATTTCCCATGGAGACTTACCAGATGGGCAATAACATCACAATCACTACCAGTCCTGAACTTGTGGTTTACCAACTTCTTCCTCAGTTCTTCATGGTTGTAAATCTCTCCATTCACCTAGTTTTCAGCACAGGTTTTTCTCTTTCCATTAGTTAAAATTACAATTATACCATAGTCCATTATTAGTACTAAAACGTTAGTTTTTTTTTTTTTTTTTTTTTTACTTTGAAGGCAGATAGGGTTACTACTGGACTAGGCCCAAGTGATCATATAGGCTAAAAAAGGAAACAAAATAGTAAAACAAGACAAGGCTAGAGGCCTACCGTGACAACAACACTCTTGTCTTCGTTAAAGAGAGGTTGGTCACCGGAAGCAGGATCAACGATGGCAAGGCGTTGATGGGCCAAATAGCAGTCTCCATGATGGTGTAGTCCACTCCAATCAGGACCACGGTGCTTCAGCCTTTTCATACATCATCAAATAGTACATATTTCAGCTGGTTATTTCTCTTTATCATTTAAAACAAAATACTACTGGTATTTGTTTCTCCTAATAATCGTTCAATTATGGCCCACACCCCACGTGGATTATCACTAACTAATTAAGTAATAAATCTACTGTAATTTATTATGCCTAGCTTCATTATCTGCTTGAATTTGCATCTTAAAACATGGACTCTGCCATTTTTCTTCCTTTGATTTCAAAGTTGTAAAATCAATAAATATGAAATTTAAAGACAATTGATTCATATAACTATTTTTAAAAATTAACTTTTAACATATTTTAAATTAAAATTTTTAAAATTTTAACATTTATAATCTTTTCTCGTCGTTTAAATTAAGACCTTCTTACTTAAAAAGGTTATACTGTTTTGTCAATGCTTAGGACCATTGACTTAGCTTGGCCTCCTGCCTTCATCCCCAGAGTCTGTTTGCAAATTAGAAAGAAATAAATAATGTTTTCGGCATCCTCCAAGTTGGAGATTTTCCTTTCAACTTATGCAATTAATACTTAAAGATGATCAAGAATTCAAGATCAACTTATCCAACTTCATCATAACCAAAAGTTATACTTTCACCTTGAGTTTTCAACGTTACCATCAATGGATTAAGAAACAAAAACCCTAGTCTCCATACCCTTTTTCTTTTGATTTCCAAGCAACAAAACAAAAAACTTGTCATTTGTCAAACCTATAGTTGACAAATGTTATTCAAACTTTGTAAAGACAGAACCATCAAAATCAGCCAAAAGCACAAAAAAAAAAAAAACCAGATAAAAAGTGAAAAGTAGGAAAGAAAAAGATTATTTGCCTGCGGGAAAGCTCCAGCACTCGAACCCTTTTTGCCTGAGATTCATCAGAACAACCCAAAACCGCTAAAATCCCACACATTTTCTTTCAATAATAAACAATCCCAGAGTTTTTTCTCCTTTCTTTTCCCAGAACAAGAAGAAGAACTAAAGTAAGTTAAAATCCTTAAAAAAAAAACGAAGGAAAAAAAAAAAGAAAAAAAAGAGGACGAAGATTTTTGCAGGGAAATCAACGGAGTGTAAACAGGGGAAGGCAACACGAAGCCGTGTTTAGAAGCTCATCTAACTCCAAGTATTTATAGCTGCGAACTTCAGGAGCACCTTTCACACGGCGCCGTTGCGTCACTTCTTTGGCTCCACCTCTCTCGTCTCGCCACGTGGTCCCACGTGGTTGGTTTTTACAGTTGCTTTTTGACCGTTATCTACCAATTATCACAGTAAGGGGCTAAGGGCTTTATCCATTTCCCTTGCTGACTCAGCGCCAATCATAGTCAAAAGTCAAAATCATTGTCCCCCCTCTAGCAACCGTCCACGTGTAATCAATAAACTGGTTCTCATACCTGACGTGGATTTTGATTTTTTAGTTTTGGCGATGCAACCTAGGCCGTTGATACGTTTGACTTGAGATGTCATCAAGGCTTATCTTCACAATCCTTTATAAATTGACTAAATATTTAAAATAATTAATAATACAATACGTAACTTTCCAAGTAATTATATTTTAATATCTATTAAAAATGATGTTAACTTCTATAATCCAAGCAATTATCGAGAAAGAGGCGAACGAATCATCGCGTATCAATAAACAATAAAGAAGATGACAAATGTTTGAAAATTATACATTACAAGAAAAAATAATTGTCACTTTGGTTTATACATTTGATGGAACGTTTATTTTTGTCTGGTTTTATTTGTTGAAATAATCGAGCAATGGTGTAACAACTTAACGAGATGTTAAAATCAACATCCTTTTACCTTTTCTTTTCTTTTTTTAACTTTGAATACGTCTAAAAAATGAAAGTTTGATTTGAAAATTGACATTGAAAATGAGACAATCAAAATAAAAAATTATTTGAATCTTGTTGTTTATTGATGATTGGAGCGATTAGTATTAAAGTTATATATAGATTGGTATTTTTGTTAATTAAAAAGAGAGTTAAAGGTGACAATTAGGGTTAGGTATCTTGATTGTTTATTAACAATGGACCTAATTGAAATCCATAGTAAATTTATCGATGAATGGTTGATTTGACAATTATTGAGTTTATTACCATAACAAAAACAAACAAGAATAGGCCCAAAACAAAACACGCCTATTCTAATGATGGAACAAGGTAATAAGCATAATTCATGTGAGCCTCAAAATTAAAATTATCATCTCTTTTTTCAAAATTCAAACATGTATAATTATTTGTTTTTTTTTTTCACAAAAAATTTAAGATTAGAGACGGTTTTTAATTTCAAAGTTGGATTATACCACAAATCTCAAATAAGGTTTATATTAAATTTACAAATCACTCACTAAAAAAAATTATTGGCAGTGAAACTCGAATTTAGACTTAACAGTAAAATATTCTAATCTTAGTAACTTAATTAATCCTGTTGACTATAAATGTGCATATCTAATACTAGAAGTATAAATGATACGTTAACACTCGTAAATTATTAAGGTTTGACTCGGATAAAATTTAAATTCAACTTAATCATTATCGAGCTAAACTCAAGCAATTTTACTTATTAAGTGAATTGAGTTTAAGTATCCTAATGTTCGGCTTTAGCAACTCATGAGTATAATTAAGTTTTTATATTGTAATATATATTTTTATTATTTTAATTAAAAAAATACTATTTTACCCTTATATATCAATTTAAACTTGAATTTGAATACAAAAGATTGAATTTGAAGTCCAGTATACCATAAAAAAATTTAAGGTGAGAAAAGGTTTTTAATTTCAAGGTTAGAGTATACCACAAGTTTCAAACAGAGTTTATATTAAATTTACAAATCACTCACTAAAAGAAATTATTGGCAATGAGACTCGAATTTAGACTTTATAAGTTAAATATTGGAATCTTACTAATTCAGTTAACCTCGTTGATTACAAATGTGGATATCTAATACTAGAGGTATACCAATACTCGTAAATTACACAAGTTCAATTTGAACAAAAGTTAAATTTGATTTAATTATTATCAAGTTAAACTCAAACAAGTCAACTTATCAAGTGAGTTAAGTTTATATATCTTAATACTTGGCTTTAGTAATTCACGAGTATAATTAAGTTTTTATATTATAATATATATTTTTATTATTTTAATTAAAAATTACTATTTTATATATATATATATATATTAGTTTGAGGTTGAGTTCGAACACAAATAATTAAACTTGAAGTTGAGTATGAGAATCAAACTCATTTTTTTTGATAAATGAGTCTAATCAAGAAAGCTTAAGATTTTTTTATTTTTCTCTTAAATTAAGCTTGAAAATTAAAATTTAATTGAGATCAAATAAAATTTTAAAAAATAAATTTTAAGTTGAATTCAAGCTTAAACTTCTCGCTATACTTACTCAACTCAACTCAACTCGATTACACTTATATTTAATACTACTTAATTCAAAAAGCACTTGGTCTACACTTAGACTATCCACGGTATAAAACTATAAAAAAATCAAATATTTCGGTATTCATATTTTTTTAGTTTACATTATTAAAAAGACTTAAACCAAACCAAATTATTATGGTTTGCTTTGCTTTGCTTTGATTTGATTTATATTCCGGGCGTTAGCCAAGATGTAATGTAAAATTGCATATGGCCGCTTCCAAAATTATGAACCAACAAATCAAATTTTTTGAGATCAATTAGGTGATATGGTTTGTTTTTTTTAATGAAATCACAAATGCAAATAAAAACTACTATTATCATAATCAAGTAATTTTTAACATGATAAAAACATTTCATATTTAAAAATCAACTTAAAATTGGATTGAAGCTACATTTATTAGTAAGATTGACTGGAACCTACTATCAAGACAGGTTAATAACTTTGGCAAATGATAATGCTTTTTAAAGAGATTTGAATTTAAATTTTAAAATTTTTGAATATTATTTTTTAAAAATAATTATATAAATCGATTGACTTTAGTCTCGAATTCATAATTTTTATAAATTAAATTCTTTTAACGTAAAGAAAAGTATAACCATTTAATCACAGATTGTGACCTCTAGTTTCTTCAGTCCAAATTATTACAATGTTTTATCCAAATTCCAACCACTTGTCCCACCACGTTTCCCTATCTTTTGAAGGATTGGGTAAAGAATTTCACTTCAACTTAAATTACACGACATGGACACGTATGTATAATAGTTTTTCAACAAATGGACAAGGAATTCCAGTTTATGTTGGAAAATTTTCTATTATAGCCTTCTATTTTACTTTTAAGAGAAAAAAATAAAAAATACTATTATTTTTAAAAATTAGACATATCGACGCATATATATTTCATTTACAAATTTTCTTTTTGGCATGATCATAAAGGGAATTTTCATTCAAAGTTTGAGCAACATGAACAATAACTAAAACATTACAAGAAAATAAAATTACAATTTATTTAAAAAAATAGTACAAGAATTTTTTTTTTTAAAAAAATCAAGATTACAAATAGCATTAGACAACGTTCCATCTACAACTTTTCACAACGTAAGCCAAACTTGATATCTAACCATAAATATGATTTCAATCATACACGTATATGTTCACACACATATAATATATTTTAACGACTAAATATTTAATACGCACACGTATATAATAATCTAAACTAATGAATTGTATAAGAAGGAATAATTAAATAGGAAATTAGAATAGTTTCTATTTTCTTTCATCATTAGGTCACCCCTAATGTTTTCATATCTTTTCAAATTTATAATCAAGTTGGCTTTTGAAGCAATTGTAGAAAGACACATCGATCCCTCAACCAAAATCATGATGACGAACCTTAAACAAAAGGAAAAAAACAAAAATGAGGACTCTGTCTTTTCTTCCACCAAGTCTAGCTGTCTTAGGAGGGTTCTTAGAGATTTTTCGCCCTCCAATTACGCTACAAATGACTTTTGGTAAATCAATACGTGGTTTCTCATTTTATGTTCTTATGTTGTATTGGAAAGATGAGGAAGAAAATAAGATTAAAAGGGAAAACGTGAATCATCATTTTTTAAATTAAGTTCACAATAATTGAAAGATTATGATGTATGTAGACATTTAATTTTGTTTGAAATTTTTTTTAAAATCGAAAAATGGGTTGTGGTCATAAATTAGGCTTGACTAAGAAGTTTCAGCCTAATAAAATAATTTTAATTTTAATTTGATTTATTTATTTATCTATTTTTTGGTTTAATTTTATTTAAAAAGTCAAAAAGTTAAAAAAAAGTCAAAGTTGAGAAAAAAAAGAAGTCAAAAAATGAAAAAGGAAAATTTTGAAAATCTTGGATTTAATCCTCTTGGGCTTGATTTATGCACAATCAAATTAATTCATAAGAATAAAATCACAAGAAAATCTCAGATTAATCGATTTGATTTTTATAAAACAAAAACAATAAACCACACAAAGGGCAGAAAAAAAATCAATTTGAGCATAAGAGATTTTTTTGGTGGGAGGTTTTTGGTTGCTGGAACACGATTTAAGAATTGTGGGATTAAGTTCAAATTTTGGTTCTAGTTTTTTCTAATTTAAATTTGATTCTTAAAGTCTCCAGAAGTTCATAAAATTCTGCCCAAAGATTTTAATTTGATTCTTGTTGAAACTTTAAATTTCTGGGTTTAGGAATTGGTTTAATTATTTCTTTGAAATTTTTAGGTTTGAAATCTAATCTTTTTGCGAAACATTTGGCATTTGTTTGAAATTTTGGATTTTGAATTTATGAGAAATTGGAGTTTTACTGGGTTATTGAATTTCACAATGAGATTTTAAAGTTTTTTGTGGTCAGTTGATAGCGGTTGGCGACGACGCACAATGGTAGGGTGGTGAAGTTCAACTGGCATCTGAAAAGAACATTTGTTGTTTTTCATGTTTCTTCATTTTCTAGAAAGAAGATAGAGAGAAAGTTTTAGAGGAAAAGTGGAGAGGTTTGAAATATGAAGACAAAAAGCCAAAGGCTGATATTTATATTAGTTCCATATGATGTAGTTTTAGAGTAGGTCCAGATCCGTGTGTAACCCAAATAAGATCCGCGTGCAACCTAACTTTAAACCCAACCCGATCGAAAGTTTTTTCATTTTCATT